TATGTTTTTTAAACAGATTCCTTTGTGGCTTTTACTTTGTGCATTAAGTCAGATGAATAGTATTCTGGGTAAGCAAAATACTAAGGAAAGGAAACAGTTATTGTTGTGTTTTTCAGTTTAAATGGAACTGAAGCTTAAGGTAGCACAGTAGCATGAAAACAAGTAACAGAGGAGCAACGTGAACACTTTCCTGTTTTTAGGCGAGATCTTGAGGAAGGAATATTTTTAAGCACATAACTGTGTTTTGTAAGCAACTTATGTTGCCTTCCCAGTATTATTATGAACCATTAAAATGGCTCTGCAGAACTACTAAACTATTTTGTTGTATTTTTGTTGATTTTGTATATATTGTTGAGTGCTGACACTGTGAGAAAGAAAATGGTCCCAGTTCTTAGGAAGCTAATGGTCTGAAGTAATTTTAAATACTGAACCAAGGTGAGCAAGAAAACCTAATGACACAGAAAAATTAATTTATTCTATTAATCCTGGGTTGATACCATCAATCAGTTGCAATAAAATTTACATATGGATGCAGAGAGACAGACGAGTGGCGTCTCAGTTGGAAGTCTCTTATTTCCTCTTTTTTTTATTTGCTTAACTCACTGTAACAGGTAGCCTAAATAAAGAGGCCTTATGAGACCAGGAAACTGTATTGTGATAGAAACTGATTTCATAAGCGCCATTTAATCATTTTATTTATAAATAAATAAAATGCTTAATTCATGCTTCCTTTTGGCTCAGCTGGAAGCCTTGGGAAATGCAGAGTAACGTATTTGTTCTTAAGTTGGGCATGGAAGCTCAGAACAGTTAGCATGTGATGGTTCCTTGGTAAGGGTTGGTAGAAGTAAACGTTAGCATGTAGGTACCACAAAAAATACATTTTACAAGTAATTCTGCACATTACACAAGTTAACATGAGAGAAAAGGTCTTTTCAGCCAGGTCTATGTCCTAGTTATCTTCCACAGGTACCAGTAATGTGTCTAGGAAAAGCAGCTTCAGCAGTCCTGTCTCCTAGAATTATAGTTGTGGGGTTTAGCAAAGATCAGTGGTACAGGACAGTGATTTAACTGTACATTTAGTAGCCTAAATCTAAGGAACTGTGGTTGTAACAAGCCTTGGCAAGGTTTGTTGGTATAAAGAAATGCAGTTTTGCAATATTTGTACTCAAACCATCATCAAAATAAAGTTACTATGGTGATTTGAAAACTAGGATTTAAGAACTATTAGTATAAGGATTGCATTCACTTTGTACTTGGGTTGCTTTAAACGCGGCTTTAATAAAATCTAGTGTAATTGCTGCAATTAAAGGAGGGTAGTACCAACTTTGAGATTTCCTATTGCTGGATCTGAACCCTTTCAGGATGGCTAGATTGGTATTGTGGAACACAGGCAGAAGTAATAGTTAAAAAATAATTAAACTTGACAGCCAAAGTAGATGTTTTCATTTGAGGACGACACACATTTTTGTCACATGTGGTGTCTGTCAATGAGTTTTTCATGAAAACTGTTTATCTTTTCTTTGATTTACTTCCTGGATGATTAATTCAGTAGCACTGGCACAATTTTTTGCTTACTTTCATCTACTACAGATGAAGACGAAGGAATTCTAGATGTCCAATAAAACCTAATTGTAAAGCATTTTCTAAATTCTGGAAAGTAAATTTTTAGTTTGGGCCAAGATTTTCATTCCTATTTTTACATAATGTACAGTTGACATGCTTAAGAGTCCTGGGAGCATAATTTTGTTTTAAAAATGAAAACATTCATTTAAGCTCTGTTTCATTTGAACACAAAAGGAGAAGCAGACTTTTAAAAATGTATAAAGTTTATTCAAGAACTCAGTTTTCAGTTAATTCTTGCAATTTCCTTTTGCATAAAGCTATATAAAGATAGACAAATGTCAATACTGAAGGAGTGTGAAATAGAAACAAAGAGGGTTGTGTTTGGGCAATCACCAATAAAATTTTACTACCATTTTGATATTTTTACTTTTCCACTGTGTAACAATCCCAACCAGTTACAAGAACTGCTGTAAATAACTCTTTTTGAGGGGAAAAAAAAATACAAGCAATACAATTCACGATGCTGGGTAGTGTTGGGTTTTTTTTCTCCATTTGGATAACATTTTTGAAAATAAACTGGAGAAGTGTGTACTCTTTCCTGTGCCATAATTTTTTGTTAATCTGTAATTTCACTGAAGTTTGACTCAGGTAGAAACAATAATTTTGAAGTATTAAAGAGAAATGGAAAGACATCCGCATGGAGATATCAGAAATGATAATTTAGTGATGTATGAACTATATTGAGATTAACAATTCAGATTATAGCATCAGCTGATTACACTGTGGTAATTTTAGCAGAAACTTTGTTTCTCCACTAACCACAACTAAAAGGAAAAATCCCAAAATTGTTCTTCAGTGACATCCATGCTTTACAAAACCTGCACAACTTACATAATGCAACTATATTTCCAATGTCAAATTTGTAGCATAATGAAAAAAAGAATGAAGTTTAAAAAAGTGAAGGCGGGGAAGTTGGTGATTTGGAGGATGGCAGAGCTGGGGATACAGCAGACCTGCTTAGTTTTCTGTATTACTCAGAATTCACCTGTGAACTGAGGCAAGTCCAAAAGGATTATCTGCAGAAGAAAGGCAGTAGTTACTGCATGTCTCACTGAGGTGGCATAATGTTTAGTAGTGTTACTAGCCAGGGAACTGCACCCTGATTTTGCTAGCTGTATACCACAGCTTTGTAAAAATGTCGACTAAACCAGAGCAACTTCAATGCAAAAGCTGCAACAGAAGTGGCTTCCAAATACCTAGTAGTTTAGAGGATAGGTTACTCTCGTGATACCTGGAAAGCCTGGATTCAATCCCTTGCTTTGTATCAAGTGGCAAATCAGCTTTGAAAATGTGCCTCCATAACAAAAGCTTAAAATGCATAACTTAAAAGACTACGTTTCTATTGCCAGCAGAATAGCCAGATTGTAACTAATTTACTTACTTACAGTATCTGGCTAACATTTAGGGATTAGATTAGGTGAATGAGTATTATGGAACCACGTGGAAGTGGGCGTATGTTCCTTGATGTCAGAAACATGGGTATGATGACAATTCAAATGCCTTTGAAACTAGATAGCGGCTGAATTCTCTAAGGACTTGAAGTCCTGGTTTTGCTTTTATACTACATCTATAAAAGACTGTAGACATTACAGCCCTCCAGGTTGCTTGTAGCAGCAGGTTTTAGGTATCTGGCACAGGCAATAGAATTTTCTGTCCTTTATTTTAAATACTCGTACTTTCTATCCAATGAATAAGCTGAGTCTGCCCATAATTTGGTTTCCAAACCTTGCACATGGAGCTGGAACCACTTAAACTGACTTTAAAGGAATGCTGAAGACAGGTTTCTGTTAAAGCCTGCTGCAGCTGAGGGCTTGGTTGGGGGGGGGGGAGGGAGAGATCGAGAGAGACAAGGCAAGGGGGGAGACAGAGAGAGAGAAGAGAGAGGAGAGAGATAGTTGTAGAGTAGAGCTATCTATTCTCTTCAGGGCCAACAGCCCTGGGCTTGCTCCTGAAGGTCGATGTCTAAGTCCAGGAAAAGGGACTTTCAGAAATGGAAGCTGTGTGGCTTCCTAGTTCTCCCTTAGGCAGCATGTTAGCAATCAGACACTCCCCAAATAACATGGGAGACCTTGATTCACTTGCCTCCTTTGCCTGAAGCTCAGCTTTAAGCACCTCTCCTACTTTTCCTGTTGAAGCTCTTCTACTTTGCATTAATTGCTGAGGACTCCACCCTGCTAATGAAGGGCAATTTCAGTATTGTACATTAGGCTCGTTGGATAAATTACAAAGGCAGCCCTTAAGGCAGGGACTACACAGGACTTTACCACGAACAGCGGATACTGTTAACTGGGGGCTCTTTCTTAACTCAGTCTTTGTGGGTATCTGGGATCATAACTGAGTGTGGGGTTTCTTTGCTTGTCCACCAGAGCTGAAGTAGCAAGTTTAAAAACCAGCATAGTCTTAGTCTGAGTCATTCTTTTGTTCTGATTCTCCTGCTTTAACGATTATGATTCTTTTCTCTAAAGGATGGACATTCTGTGGTTTAATAACAGTAATGGGTTAAAATCTTTCTGTATATAGACACCAAGGCACTATGTGATAGCAGCTCCTACCTGGGTAATAATATCATCAAGTCTATACAAAACAGCATCAAAGGAGTTAAAAACCCATGAGGTTTATACAACAGACTATTAAATACAAGTCCTGCTACCCAGAAGTGTGCAAACAATTTATTTGTGTTCAGTGCAACACTGTACAGGGGAATGGGTCTGCAGTCGTGTTTCTCTACAAGGTCAATAAATGGTTTGTCAACTCTGGTGAGCATTTACTTTGTATCCAAAGTCCTAATGTTAAAAATAATAAAGAGTAATTTTACTCTCTGTTTGTGATGGAGCCCCACTCTGACAGGATCAGAAACACCAGTCAACAGCTGCAGATGGAAATGAAATAGTCCTCTTAAATGAATCCTGTGGGCTGGGAAAAAAAACGTTTTCTCCCACTGCCCAGTTCCTTGTGTCAGACAATCTGGAGCCACATTAAGGATTTTTTTTTTCTTTTTACTAGTCCAGTTGGCAGAGCAAATTGCCTTGTTGAATTAGCATGTTCTAAAATATAAAAGGGTTTAAATGAGTACAATGGTACAGGCAGTACAACAAACTATTGCTACTATAAAATACACTAACATATTTCTCTGCTGTATAGTGAACAGATTTGAGACACAGGACGGTGTAAATGACTCCTGGAGCTTTTTGTATTAGTTATTTTTATATGAATCTCAGTAATAAGCAAATCAGCATATATGTTGCCAAATTAAAATAGAAAGCTATTAGCAAATTAATACCTTTTACACAGAACTTATACAAATACCACATTTTTCATGTCTTGTGTTATTGCAAGAACAAAATTGCATAGACCATTTGCTGGCACTTTCTGAATTCCCCAAATAATGCTTCATCTTAACAAATAGTTCAAGTAGTTCCCTCAATTTAATTTCACCCACTAATGCAGTAAGTGTTTACATGTAGTGAGAGAAAAAGCCACAGAGCTCAAAAATATTAACAATGACATAATCATCTGACTGACTAATAGTTCACAAGAAAACATTCCTTTTATTTTTTTTATGCTCTCTGTAAGGCTGTTTTCAAAGTGTTACTGACAGAACATATAATCTGATTCAAGTCATTCTTCTGAAGTTAAAATGTTATTTGTGCTCTTCTTCCCCTTTCACCCTGTAGTCCAGAATTGTAGATACAGATTTGTTTCCTAAACTGAAGTACTTTGTTTTTAAAATTCTGAAAATTCTGCTTTCGGTAATGCTCTTTAGCAATAATATAAAACTCAAGAGTTAGCAAGGGGGTGTGTGGCCTTTTCTGGTGGTGCCTCACTGGCAGACACGGCTGTATTCTTGGCAAGTGGAGCCCACGCCAGCCACTGACAAGTAGAGCTTTCCGTCCGGACACACGCAGATTTCATAAAGCCCCTGAGAAATAGGAGATCCACCCCTTGTACCCTCAGGCAATTTGGGCAGTCGCACAGTTTCAGCATCGAGCAAAAGCTGCATGGGAGAAAGCAGGACAAATGGGCTCGTTAGAGATAATGCAATAGCATGCCATAAACCAACTTGACTTTGTCTCAGCAGTGGTTTCAGAATAGCCTTCTACCCAGACTTGTTATATACAAAGCTGCTCTGAGGCCTAGGCTCTTGGCAGACACTGGAACACGGGAGAGGGATAAGCTGGTGCCCGTCCTCTTCCTTAGCAGAGCCCTCATGAATTTCAAGAAGGCCAAGTGCCAGGTGCTGCACCTGGGTCAGGGCAATCCCCAACATGGATAGAGGCTGAGTGACAAGTGGATTGAGAGCAGCCCTGCGGAACAGGACTTGGGGGTACTGGTGGGTGAAAAACTGAACACGAGCTGGCAAGCTGTGCTTGCAGCCCCAAAAGCCAATGGCATCCTGGGCTGCACCAAAAGAAGCGTGGCCAGCAGGTCGAGGGAGGTGATTCTGCCCCCCTTCCCTGCTCTCGTGAGACCCCACCTACAGTACTGTGTCCAGCTCTGGGGCCCCAGCATAAGACAGACATGGATCCGCTTGAATGAATCCAGACGAGGGCCAAGAGGACGATCAGGGGCTGGAGCACCTCCCCGATGAGGACGGGCTGAGAGATCTGGGGTTGTTTCAGCCTGGAGAAGAGAAGGCTCCAGGGAGACATTATTGCAGCCTTTCAGTACTTAAAGGGGGCCTACAGGAAAGATGGGAGGGACTCTTTATCAGGGAGTGTAGTGATAGGACAAGGGTTAATGGTTTTAAACTGAAAGAGGGTAGAGTTAGATTAGGTATTAGGAAAAAATTCTTTACTGTGAGGGTGGTGAGAGACTGGAACAGGTTGCCCAGAGTTGTGGATGCACCCTCCCTGGAAGTGTTCAAGGCCAGGTTGGATGGGGCTTCAGCAACCTGATCTAGTCCAAGGTATCCCTGCCCATGGCAGCGGGGTGGAACTAGATGATCTTTAAGGTTCCTTCCAACCCAAACCATTCTATGATTCTGTGATAAGAGACGGGGCCCCTGCCTGTACACTGGATAGCGGGGGCGTGGGTGCTGTGGCTGCCCGTGGACCCCGGGCTGTGCTCAAAAAAAAACCTTGCAGCCGTGCCAGCTGGGCTATGCCAGATGGTTACGGATGGATGGACAAACAGGTTGGTCTGGAGTTTCCCCTGTGAAGGAAGCCTCACAGAGGGGCTAAATAGGCTGCTGCATGTCGTGTGCTGTTGCTGACGGGGCAGCTCTTAATGATGTCTGCAGAGCTTCACTCCTTAATTTAGTAATTCTGGGGCTGAGTGTCTACTTCTGGGCCAAGGACGCCGCTGGGGTGCCTGGGGATCACTGTGCTAATGGGGAGCTGAGCATGATCAGAGTTTTATTAGAAAGCATTTCTCTAAGCTAATACAACATTATGTCAATCGGTAATATTATTTAATCTGACCCATAAATAAAAGTCTTATGATTGGCACCATTAATTTTAATATCCTGTCTGCTAAAATCTGAGGAATTAAATTAACAGAACTTGAAAAAAGACTTGAATTTATTAGTTATATTCAGACAGCAAGATCAAGCATAGTTATGGAAACAGAAGGGCTTGTACTCACCACACCATCACTGCTGTGCAGTTTGATATCCATCTGGGAAAGAGCTTCAATATTCCCAGCTTGCGCTTTGATATTAATTCCTCGCGGTGCATCCATGCTCAAAGATCGAGTCGGTGATTCCAGCCTGAAAGCATGAGCAGGAAATCTGACAGTAGCACATTCTCAAGTTCCTTTATTTTGGAAAAATAAGTAAACTTCGAACAAGCACTTGAAGGGTGTCGCCTGAAGTCATATAAAAGATGCAGCTTCTTTTTTCTTCAGGCAGACTTGAAAAAGGGGGTAGCTATTTAAAAACACCAAAGTATCCCAAATGAAAAACATAGATGAATTCCTAATACAAATGCAAGTATTATTTCAGAGATAACTTCTGATTATTTCAGTATAATAGTAATTTATTCTTTAAAACTGAAACCCATTCTTACATTCTTTAGTTTGAATTTATTTTCATTTTTGACATAATAAGATATTGAAATTAATACAATTGGTGCAGTCTGGAAGTTTTCAATCAACTAGTGTTTTGACACTGCTACCAGTTGGACCAAGATTTCAGTCAGTGTGCATGTCTGTTGTTTAACTCGATGGCATCTGAAACTTAAAAACCAGTAACTTCATTTGAAATAAAAATTATGCAATATAACAGAAAGTTGCAAACCCTACAGTGCCACAAGATGGCAGGAAGGTACTGTATGAGCTGAATAATCACCTTGTTGGGTCAGCAGTGCAGGATTAATGATTTTTATTTTCAAAAGAGTTAAGGCTTTGTTTCTTCAGAATTTTGGTATCATTTCCACAATAAGTAGCAGGGATAGAAGTACTAATTAAAAATCATGAGAAGGAAAGAAAAAGCCCAAGCTCAGCAACGAGCTAGTGATTACATTACTTGTTTTGATGATTACCTAGAACTGCTTCATTTGGAGGCACTGGAAACACCACAGGATCAGAGTTGATACCTACTGAGTTTTGTTTCTAAATATCGTCTCACCCTTCCTGATGACACTAGCCTGATTTTTACACTATCAGCCAACATTAAACAGGTGAATATTAAGGCCAGAGAAAATGAATCAACAGTCCCAGCTGACTTTACATCCATGTTACCTTCTCTATTCTATCCGTTCCCTGGACACATACAAAATAATGTGGGCTTCATCCATAATGCAGAACTGAGGCATGTGTCCCCATTCCCAGGTCTGCATGTGCTCACCCACTGTGTCTTCTGGAAACATGGGCGGGGGGGGGCGGCGCGGTGTGTGGTGTGTGTGCACGCATACCTGCATGCACACCCAGCAGATGCTGTGTTGGCTCCATGCACGCTCAACAGTCACTGATCTGGATGAGTGCAGGACTGTGCCCCAGGAGCTCCTTTACCAGGTATGTGTCAGACAGTGAGTCTAGACACTTGACTGCCAAAGGAATGAAACCATTTCACACACGATCCTGATGTAGCTGTCTGATGGGTTTCATTTACTCAGACTGCTTCAGTTCTTCCTTTTTTTGCAGTTACTTCATTAAAATTAGACTTTAAAAGCAGTCAGTTTGTGCTTGTGAGAAACTTCAGTTGTATCTTAGAGTTCTGAAGAAGCTAAATCCAGCTGATATCTTAAAACCTAAACGCATGATATTACGAGCACAGTCAAGCACAGTCACTGAAACTTCATTTTTTATACCGCAAACCGAAAATAACTCAGGTAAAATTGGCTTATCACTGCTGGCCAGAGGTAACAGGAGATTCTATCTTCTTTGATCTTCAAAGGTCCCTTCCAACCCAAACCATGCTATGACTTTGTGTTTCTATGATCTGCCTCCGCCCAACATCTCCTGGGTTAGTCACCTTCAATTAGTTTAAACTCCAGATTGATAATTTAAATTCCTAACAATGGATAACTGCATCATGGTTGCATATTAAGACCATATCCATAAAATAGCTTGATGCCTTACCCCATGACTCTGAGATGGCACAAACTTCTGTCATGACCATGCTGAGTACAAGGGCATGAGTACGAGTCTGTTCTGCATCAGCCATCTAACATAATATTAGTAATTTTTATTAAGCAGTGTTTGTGATTTAACAACTTTTCTATGACTTTTTGGTTTAGATTCTTAGATTTACACTTTTATGAAATTGGAAATCAGTTTTTCCCTGAGTGATTTACATGGGAGGTCTGCTTCATGGGACTATTTTCCAATGCATATTTGTAGGCATTATATAATGAAAAATTAATCCAAGTTTGTATTTTTAATATTTAAAGTTTAATATATTTTCCTAGGTCAGTGTCAAGGTAGTTGAATATAACTGTTGCCTTTGTTTGTTTTAGCAAAAAGCTATAAACATTGAAATAGCTCATATTTTTCTGTAAAGTATTTCATCTATGTAATAATCTATACGTAGGCATAAATTTTTATTTTTTAATCTCTATTGAATATTACAAGAAGCCAGACTGGGACAGATTTTTGAAAAGCGTATCAGACCTGGAGTTTGAAAAGCAATCAAACACTAGAGAGATATTTCTTTCTTTCTACCAAAATTAATGCTGGCAAGAAGCCTACAGACTTCGGAAGCATTTACAGATTTATGATATGACTGACTTATAATTTAAGTTACATGGCAGAATTACATTTGTTGTATTAATCACAACGCTAAATTTCTGCTGTTTATACAGGTTCTATTTCTAGATTAACTAAGGGCAGATTTACCTAATTAAGTCATTGGACCTTCCTGGCAATGGAAACTGCAGTGAAGCTTAAGCAGTGATTTTAAAGCCTTCTGGAACAATTATGTGTGAGATTTTAGCAAAGGCGACATTCAGTAACTCTAATGATACATTTCTTCATACAGTATTCAAAGGTTCAGTGCCCTGAGCCCAGATGTAATAAAAGGCAAACAGGCACCTACTGTAGAAATGACATGACTAAGCTGAACCTTGACTTTGAATGCCCCTTCTCAGTCCCTACTTGGTCCTGAAGACATGTGACTTCCTCAGCCCCTTAGACATTGACCTTAAAGTCACCTAAAATTCTTCAGTGGTCCTGGCCTTGAGGCACTTCCAGTTTGTCACTGGTAGGCAGGTTTGAACTTCTCCTGTATGCTTAAGGGTCTGGGGACCACAGAACTGCCCGAGCAGAAGAGCTGACTGATGGAGATACTTGCATGAACTCAGGGTGTCTCAGAAAGATATGAATAGAGCACTGCAATTATTAACACTGGTGGTGTTTTAAATAGACAGGAATAAAGTGAAATGTGCTCTTTTTTTTAATATATCAGTGAACAGATGACAGGAGGAAGTTGCCCTGCACTGTGAATGATTTGGTCAGTCACAAAGAAGATACATGACTGTGTGCAGATAACGGCTGATAAGAAAGTTTCAAGATCTATTCCCTCCCTTTTATTAAAGGAGGAAGACAGTAGGCTGGACTGGGCAAATTTTTGATGTGCATCCCTCAAAAGTCTTGGCAAAACAAGAATTCAATTTGCTTGCAAATGCTGGAGAGTGCATGGACACTCAGAGGACAGAAGTTGATTGTCTTATGAGTTTTTGGTCCTTTTTTAGTGTTTGTTTGAATTCAGGCAGTAGAATGATGAGGGAATATATTGTTACCAGTCACTTCATCTTTTTCAAAAATTACAGGCATATAAATTACATTTAACAGAACGGAGTGAGGATCTTTATAATCTAGAGGAATTAATCTATGTAATGTTCTGTCCTAAATGAGACATCTGTCAGAGCCTGTATCTCATTTAGGAAGATGGATTCTGTACTTAGGAGTAGCTTCTAGGTACTGGGGTAGCTATGCCAGGGGTCTGTTAGCAAGTGGTGTGGTGCAAGAGGAATTGATCGGGACGGCACAACATTTGATGCCAAGGACCTGACACGCCCATTATATGTGTTCTGAGTAGTCTGGACTAGCTGTTGCCTGACCCTGAAGACTGGACACCCAGAAAGGTTGGAGCATATTAGGCATTCTCCAGGAGAGCACAGCAGTCCATTGCAACTAAAGCAACCTGTTACAAGGAAGACAATATTTTTATCACTGTCTTCTTCCTTGTTGGTAAGATAGTTCCAGAAGTTGACTATATTGTCTTGGCCGGATGCCAAGGAAATCTGGTGCTGAGGTGTGCAGAATAATTTATGAAGGACTGTGAGAAAGTCTTCTGAGGGAATCTGTGCAATCTCTGCAGGCTCTGGATCTGAAACCGTCCTAACAACTAACAGGCTTGGAGATTCCCACCCTTTCCTATAAGCATGTTGCTAACTCATGGAGATACCAGATCACCAGAAATTGCTCAGTTGGCTGTGTTTAGGGATGACGTGAGAGGAGTGACAGCTGGCTGTGCTTGTGGTAAAGAAGCAGCTGAGTTGAACCCTGACTTTGAATGTCCTTTCTCAGCCAGTGCATGCTGCAGGAATATCGATCTCTTCTTTCATCCTGTTCTGGCAGGAGATAGAAGGATACCTTACTGATCTTAGAAGTACCACAATGCATTAGAAAGCTGGTTTTAGTACTGCAGAAAGAGTACCAGAGTCTTCTGGAGCCCAAGTTTCCTACCGCAGTGTGGGATTGCTTGACGTTTAGAGCAGGACAGAGGAACCAGCTTGCTTTTATGAATTTGGGGAATAGTTTATTCCTTCCTTCTGGCCACTTTTTGTCCTTTCCATCTTACGAGTCAGTACCTCTCCTGAATTCAATGGGGACAGAATTCCTGGGGTATGACTTTAGATAAAAGTTCCCCAAATGTACGCATTCCTCCCAGCACCTACCTGAGGAAGACCAGGGTTACTGTAAGTGGACTGGACAGGTAGATGGACACTGCCTCTAAAATTGTGGTGCAACCCATACATACATACATACAGCTAACTCCCTTTTTTTCCCCTTGCTTTTTGGTTAAAATAGCCTGAACGATTTTACCATAAACCTGGCACTAAAGTGTTAAAGGTATAGTAAAGAATTTAGCAGTGTATAGTGTATTAAGTATTTGACTTAAATGTTCTTGTATCAGTAAAAGAGATTATATCAGATTATTTCACAGCAGTATGTTTGTTTAGATCATTAACAAGATGTTGGTCTGGTGCGCACCTGTATGGTGGGGTTTTTTTTGTGAAGCCCTTTTAAACAGTGAAAGAACATGAG